ATAAGTTAGAAATGCAGGTGGTAGTTCTGCATTCACATCGATCAACTGCATTCTGACCTCCTTATCCAAGACTGCGACTAACTCAGTGACTGAGTCACAATTGGTGCACATAGATACGAAGACAAAGGGAAGCATAAATTAGATCTGCACATTGCCTATCAGTATAAACTGGCACTGCCAAAATAGCTTCGAAATGATTCATCGCATATCAACATTCATTGTGCTAAACACGTCGTTTATGCCGGACCTATCTCAACCGTCAGTATTTCATCTGAAAAGCATCATGCCTTTGTGTCTCAGTATAAACAACATATTTCTCATGAGTGTTCATACCTCAATTGCCATTTAAGAAATCTGCGTGATGCTGAAGCGTTTCGTGAGTCATACATGATTCCACACATCACTCGTTAATAAAGAAATACCCAAAAACAAAAGATTGAAAACAATATTGGGAATGTGCCTGACTAAACTCAACTGGTCATAAAAGCTCCAACAAGAGCAGTATTATTTCGGAACCGTCTCCGCTTTCCTTATCAATTCGTTTCGTAAACACACACACATACAGATAGGGGAAGCGAGATTTCCAGCTGCATTCAATTCACGACGATTATCTGTGCATTAATCATTCTCGCCATCGTGATAGTCTTCAAACTGATATCGATTATAAAAGTCTACTGTCAAGTCGATCGACAGAACTGGAAGACGGAGAAATCCACTTCACATATGCTAAATCAGTAGTTTGTCAACTCCACAATGCAATGTTTGTGCATGCAGAGTTTGAACTCGCGTTCTCATCACTACAGATGTTCTTAGGAGACTCAGGTCAAATGAATAGTATTGTGAACATGTAAAAGATTTGGGGGAGACGAAAACAGGCACAGAGTCAAACGTCAATATTTTACTCTTCCATCATATGTAACATTCTCGCCTATTAGAAATAGAACATGCTACTCAATCAAGAGTGACAAATTACAGACATACAATCGCGTCGAGAAATAACTGCATTTGATAAAACGCGCAATTATCATATAATCTTGAGGCATAAATCGTACTCGGAACGTCATCACTGTGTGTTTTGTCGCATGAAATTATTCTCTGATATAATAATAATGATGATGATAATAATAATTTACAGCCATATATTAATGAGAAGAGATTAGATAATTTCGAGAGCGATAGTATTTATTTTTAGTTTACAATAAATGTTAATCATAGCATTAAATACCAGTACGAACAGAAGAGGAAAATTTCGTGCCACACACTCCTGAATCATGCTTCTACATCATTAACACTTCATAAATGACTGTGGCAACGGAAACGTTCCTCATATCACTGACGATAGTAACGTCTGCGACGGTGTCCATTACCATGGGGATAATTGACAAATCGATAACGTCGTTGGTGGTGATGACGACGTCTGTGGCGTCGATGTCGACGACGTTCGTTGTGATTCCCACCGTCGCCATGATAACGATATGTTGCTTGAAGTAACCGCGGCTCTGGACGGAAGTTCATCATCTCACGCCGATCGTGACGACAACCGTGTTCTACACTTCTGTTCAAATCACCATCGTCATCAGAATCATCGCAATCAACATCATTATCATAATAATCATCAGCGCCTTCATCATCACCATGGGAATCATCATTATCATACTGTCCATGAAGTAGTTCATCCACTCCAATCACATTCATTGAATTCAAGTCACTGTCGTCAATGTTGTCTGTGTCATCCGAAGTTTCATTGGCTGCTTCATCACCTGTGTTCGTGTCCAAAGTTTCTTCGTCATCCTCATCCTCGCTGTCATCAAAACCGTTAGGTTGAAATGTCACAGTGACCGGAGGAGCAGCAGTCACACCATCTCCCACAATCTTGCCTTCTCCATCACTTCCTTGTTGGGTGACATTCAGTTCTGTAGTGGGAAGAAGAAGAAGAAGGCATGATCATCGACAACATTCCGAATGCTCAATCACACACATTCCAGTAAGAATACGAATGAGCCAATCAGCGCACATACGCACATATCCGATCTTCCTGTGTTACATGCAAAAGCGACTACTGTTCAGCTGAGTGTAAAGTCACCACATTCCACAGACAACCAGTAGCAGGACCAAAGCATTCCTCTCACTTGCATGCTCGTCAAAATGCTTTCCGATGTTCGTCTATTTTAATGAATGAACCCCATGTACTAACTGAGATATTCACTGTAACATTATCTTCAGTTGGAAATTATTTACTCCTCTTATTTCTCTACTGTCCATTAATACAAATATCTGCTATCGTAGATGAGTTCAATCACCACCTCTCAGATGTACACTCATAATTTCTGACAAATATGCACCAACGCGAATCGGTCTCTCATCGTGTGCACATTCTCAGCCCAATGGTTGACAAACTCACACAACCACACTCATCCACATCCACAGACACAGACAAAGACAGACATATCTACCTACCTTGTTCACTCCATTCGACAGGTATCGGTTCGGCCAACAAATGTTGATGGAACACCAGACTCAGCAGTAACGTGACGAAAATTCGCATTGTGATTCTGTTGAAGAGGAAGGATGTGGATATGAGAGGAGTTCACATGTCGTGTGTGATAATGATGAATTTATGTACATGGATATGAAGAGAACGAAAAAAGCAGGGAACGGTGAGAGCGACTATCGTCTACTCGCACACACTGCACACACTTACTCAACTCACTATGTGTTCACGTCCTTGGAAGCTCGAAATCAACCTCACAAGTAGTTGAGTCGACACGAAACTCGATCAAATTCTCGTGCTTATATATACGCACATGTGGTCGATTGGATGACCTGATGAGAGTGTGTATCACGTAGTAGTAGTGTCACTACTATCAGTTATGATATTCACCTAAACAGTTTCATTGCACACGTACTCAGGATTGTCTTCGAATGACCGCAGATCGTGACTTCGTGAAACATTTACTTTTGGTGAGATTTGTCTTTAAAAGTATCACCAATAACTTATTTATCTCAACTCAAAATTTAGCCTATGTATTTTAACGTTTTCCACGAGATTCACCGAAATAGTAGACCAAGATATTGCCTTGGATCGTGAGACTGCATTTCAGGTAACATATCTCTAGATTTAGACTCCTATGTGCGTTGAAATATGTTGAGGATGCAAAACGGCAATCGTCAGTAGACCACTGCTGTAGCGGAGAATAGCCGATCCTGGTCCCTCAACATCGAAAAGCAAGTTCTTTGATGATATCAGTAGCAACCACTGAATTTCGACCCCTGAGCTTGAGTATATTAGTCAACCAGTCGCATCGATCCAGAATTTTCCAAGTCTCATCCGAATGCTTCAAATTGGGACAGATAGACTCCATGTGAAACCAAACAAGTTTTGGAAGTTTAAGAAGTGTTTTAATATGATAAGAGGTGCCATAGCTAACGAATACAACCAGAGGTTAACGCATCTTATGCAAAAGTAGGATGTGACAGCTAAGTATGCTATATTGCATTGCGTTCCGCTATCTCCTGAGTGGGGTTATCTGTAGGCATTGGGTATGCTACGCAACCAGTTTGACCAACCTCCGTCAATTCCTGCAAATGTCCTCTTTCAATGGTTATCAAACGATCTGCTGCATCGAGAAGATCTAGCTTGGCTGCGAAGGTTGGTAAGACATGACAAATTGTGCAAAATAGTGTTGCCTCAAATGTCTGGTAGCAGCTGAATTTGGAAGGATTCTGTGAGAAGACGAAAATCAGGCTCAGAATAGTTCACACACTCGTTCACCAATTCAGCCGATTTCAACTGCACGTACAATTAAAAATTCACCAGAGATTGATAGAAGCGTTCAAGTGAATAGCGTGATCCATTTGAGGCAACACTATTGCACAATTTGTCATGTCTTACCAACCTTCGCAGCCAAACTAGATCTTCTCGATGCAGCCGATCGTTTGATAACCATTGAAAGAGGACATTTGCAGGAATTGACGGAGGTTGGTCAAACTGGTTGCGTAGCATACCCAATGCCTACAGATAACCCCACTCAGGAGATAGCGGAACGCAATGCAATATAGCATACTTAGCTGTCACATCCTACTTTTGCATAAGATGCGTTAACCTCTGGTTGTATTCGTTAGCTATGGCACCTCTTATCATATTAAAACACTTCTTAAACTTCCAAAACTTGTTTGGTTTCACATGGAATCTATCTGTCCCAATTTGAAGCATTCGGATGAGACTTGGAAAATTCTGGATCGATGCGACTGGTTGACTAATATACTCAAGCTCAGGGGTCGAAATTCAGTGGTTGCTACTGATATCATCAAAGAACTTGCTTTTCGATGTTGAGGGACCAGGATCGGCTATTCTCCGCTACAGCAGTGGTCTACTGACGATTGCCGTTTTGCATCCTCAACATATTTCAACGCACATAGGAGTCTAAATCTAGAGATATGTTACCTGAAATGCAGTCTCACGATCCAAGGCAATATCTTGGTCTACTATTTCGGTGAATCTCGTGGAAAACGTTAAAATACATAGGCTAAATTTTGAGTTGAGATAAATAAGTTATTGGTGATACTTTTAAAGACAAATCTCACCAAAAGTAAATGTTTCACGAAGTCACGATCTGCGGTCATTCGAAGACAATCCTGAGTACGTGTGCAATGAAACTGTTTAGGTGAATATCATAACTGATAGTAGTGACACTACTACTACGTGATACACACTCTCATCAGGTCATCCAATCGACCACATGTGCGTATATATAAGCACGAGAATTTGATCGAGTTTCGTGTCGACTCAACTACTTGTGAGGTTGATTTCGAGCTTCCAAGGACGTGAACACATAGTGAGTTGAGTAAGTGTGTGCAGTGTGTGCGAGTAGACGATAGTCGCTCTCACCGTTCCCTGCTTTTTTCGTTCTCTTCATATCCATGTACATAAATTCATCATTATCACACACGACATGTGAACTCCTCTCATATCCACATCCTTCCTCTCCAACAGAATCACAATGCGAATTTTCGTCACGTTACTGCTGAGTCTGGTGTTCCATCAACATGTGTTGGCCGAACCGATACCTGTCGAATGGAGTGAACAAGGTAGGTAGATATGTCTGTCTTTGTCTGTGTCTGTGGATGTGGATGAGTGTGGTTGTGTGAGTTTGCCAACCATTGGGCTGAGAATGTGCACACAATGAGAGACCGATTCGCGTTGGTGCATATTTGTCAGAAATTATGAGTGTACATCTGAGAGGTGGTGATTGAACTCATCTACGATAGCAGATATTTGTATTAATGGACAGTAGAGAAATAAGAGGAGTAAATAATTTCCAACTGAAGATAATGTTACAGTGAACATCTCAGTTGGTACATGGGGTTCATTCATTAAAACAGACGAACATCGGAAAGCATTTTGACGAGCATACAAGTGAGAGGAATGCTTTGGTCCTGCTACTGGTTGTCTGTGGAATGTGGTGACTTTACACTCAGCTGAACAGTAGTCGCTTTTGCATGTAACACAGGAAGATCGGATATGTGCGTATGTGCGCTGGTTGGCTCATTCGTATTTTTACTGGAATGTGTGTGATTGAGCATTCGGAATGTTGTCGATGATCATGCCTTCTTCTTCTTCTTCCCACTACAGAACTGAATGTCACTCAACAAGGAAGTGATGGAGAAGGCAAGATTGTGGGAGATGGTGTGACTGCTGCTCCTCCGGTCACTGCAACAGTTCCACCACACGGTTTTGGTGACAGCGAGGATGAGGATGACGAAGAAACTTTGGACACGAACACAGGTGATGAAGCAGCCAATGAAACTCCGGATGACACAGACAGCATTGACGACAGTGACTTGAATTCAATGAATGTGAGTGGAGTGGATGAACTACTTCATGGACAGTATGATAATGATGATTCTCATGGTGATGATGAAGACGATGATGATTATTATGATAATGATGTTGATTGCGATGATTCTGATGACGATGGTGATTTGAACAGGAGTGTAGAACGCCGTTGTCGTCGCGATCGACGTGAGATGATGAACCTCCGTCCAGAGCCGCGGTTACTTCAAGCAACATATCGTTATCATGGCGACGGTGGGAATCACAACGAACGTCGTCGACATCGACGCCACAGACGTCGTCATCACCACCAACGACGTTATCGATTTGTCAATTATCCCCATGGTAATGGACACCGTCGCAGACGTTACTATCGTCAGTGATATGAGGAACGTTTCCGTTGCCACAGTCATTTATGAAGTGTTAATGATGTAGAAGCATGATTCAGGAGTGTGTGGCACGAAATTTTCCTCTTCTGTTCGTACTGGTATTTAATGCTATGATTAACATTTATTGTAAACTAAAAATAAATACTATCGCTCTCGAAATTATCTAATCTCTTCTCATTAATATATGGCTGTAAATTATTATTATCATCATCATTATTATTATATCAGAGAATAATTTCATGCGACAAAACACACAGTGATGACGTTCCGAGTACGATTTATGCCTCAAGATTATATGATAATTGCGCGTTTTATCAAATGCAGTTATTTCTCGACGCGATTGTATGTCTGTAATTTGTCACTCTTGGTTGAGTAGCATGCTCTATTTCTAATCGGCGAGAATGTTACATATGATGAAAGAATAAAATATTGACGTCCGACTCTGTGCCTATTTTCGTCTCCCCCAAATGTTATACATGTTCACAATACTATTCATTTGACCTGAGTCTCCTAAGAACATCTGTAGTGATGAGAATGCGAGTTCAAACTCTGCATGCACAAAAATTGCATTGTGGAGTTGACAAACTACTGATTTAGCATATGTGAAGTGGATTTCTCAGTCTTCCAGTTCTGTCGATCGACTTGACAGTAGACTTTCATGATCGATATCAATTCGGAGACTATCACGATGGCGAGAATGATTAATGCACAGATAATCGTCGTGAATTGAATGCAGCTAGAAATCTCTCTCCTCCTATCGATGTGTGTGTTTTTATGAAACGAATTGATATCGAAAGCGAAGACGGTTCCGAAATAATACTGCTCTTGTTGGAGCTTTAAATACCAGCTGAGTTTAGTCAGGCACATTCCCAATGTTATTGATAAAGAGTGATTTGTTCGATCGACTGATACTCAAAAAAGCTTTAATGCAGCAATTACCATTCTGTCACTGATTTAGTCGCTGTCAAGACGTCTCCTGTATTCCACCATCCTAACTGACTGCTTTTACCTCCCACCAACCTCCTCCCAAAGTACCAATTTTACTACACAATGTAAACGGAACCGCCATCCAGTTGACTGACTTTCGTATGATGACTAGTGCATATCAGTGTGAGTGAACAACACCGTAGATTTGGACGTTCTCTATATACGCAATTATTCCTTCGTGATATGCAGACAATAAATGATCACTGAGAATTATACTCATGAGTATCGTTAGTCTTCCTTTGATTTATTGTGAGTCTACTTATATGTCATATCACGTACCTACAAACAGTATCAGGTACCTCAAAACAAATGCAGTGGATAACAAGACTGTATTGAGTATGTTTATTGTCACCTTCATCTCACTGAAATAGTCGCACATTATAAAGATGTTGATTAGCGTGCACATGAAGCAGTGCGACATTATCATCATGTCACTGGTTCCCTGTCGAAAATTTTGGTCATCAACTAATCGAAACAGCTGTTGATTCAGCGATAATCAGTGAGAGATTTAGAACACGCGTGGTGTTTGACTGGTTCATATGTGTGTTGGGAAATGTATGATGAAAGACGGGAGGTGTTGTTGGTAATTGTGCTTGTGCCTCATTTTCCCGTTACAGAGTGAGTTGTTGCACAGAAGTGAAGTGGCTGATTGAGAAATGTTGTGGGAGGCTGTGGCTGGTGGTTGATTTCGGGAGTCTTGATGGTCAAGTGTGAATGCACTCACCGTTCTGTTTATCTGAAGCGCTTCTACCTTTCCTTCGCATAACTCTCTGACTTCATTTTAGCAATGGATAGAAATTGGACGCAGACAGGCACTCACCACCTTCAACTAGTCCTGAGATATCGACACGGAAGTGATACTGTTTAATTTGGGTATTCAACTAGGTGTAGGCGAAATGACAATTGGTGTGTGTATTTGCATTGTGATACCAGTGTCATGAACTGAAGCAAAAGTGGATTGGACGCAGTGATCTGCAGTTTTCCTTTGTCTATCCATATATCAGCACAGCGAACAATCCAACTGAGTTCCACTTGACACTGCATTACAGATCAACTCAATCCGAATTACATAAGTCTGAAATACATTTATATATATACATATATATAATATCAACTTTAAGTAAAGATGTTTCGGAGACATGTTTATATTTGTTTAGTTTTGCTAACCACTCAAATACCTGATGATGAATTAATTTGGCACTGTTTATTGGAATTCTCAGTTCATGTCAATGTTTACTATTATTAATGTTTCGTATTATTGCTAGGAGATCATATGTCTTCAGCCGCGCGTTTCCACTGCGTTCGACCCTCTGCTACAGTTTTCTCCTGGCTCCAAGTCTGCCTGCATTTTTTCATCTCCTCTTCACACGACTTCCTCCAAATCATCCTTGGACTATCAACTCGCTGCTTCTTTTTCGGGTTACACTCGAGGTTTTGTCTAGTGATGTCACTTGATGGTTTCCTCAGAGTACGGCCAATCCATCTCCAATTTTTCCTAACTATTTGGTGCACAATCGGTTCCTGGTTGGTGCATTCCCAGAGATCTCTGTTGCTGATCTTTACTGGCTATCTGATCTTGAGTATTGAGCGAAGGCAGCTGTTGATGAATGTTTGTAGTTTGTTTGAGGTACTCTTTATGACGCGCAGTGCAAGTCTCTGATCCGTATAGTAGCACTGACTTCACAGTGAAGTTGAAAATCCGGATCTTATTCTTCATGCTGAGTGCTGTTGACCTCCACACAGACTTTAGAGCAATGAAGCTTGCCCTTCTTTTCCGATTCTTGCTTTGTTATCATCGTCAGTTCCGTCCGCCTGTAGTTGAAACGATGCTTCCCAGGTAGTGAAAGGAGGTTGTTTCTTTCAGGTTCCTTCCGTTTATGCTTATTGTTGTCTGTTGTTATTGTTGTTGCTGTTGGTGGTGTTGATATGGGCCAGGAATCTTCATCACCTCTGTTTTATCTATGTTCACCTGAAGGCCAATCTTTGATGCTTCTTCTGCCAACGTGTTACTTTTCACTTGCATATCTTCCAGTCCAGATCTTCTAGGTTTTTTGTGTGAGTCCATTTTATGCCTGTTTCCTCATTGCCCGCTGTTTGTCGCATTATCCAATCTACTGCAATCAGGAAAATCATTGGCGATAATAGGCAGCCTAGTATCACTCCCGTCTTCACTTCGAGGGATTCCGTGAGTTTCCCGTTGTGGATTACTTGTCATGCAGCATTATCGTACAGCCGTTCGATGACATGTATAATTGTCGGCGGCACCCCGTAGTCGTGAAGTAGTTGCCAAATCACCTCTCGATCAACGCTGTTGAAGGCCTTTTCAAAGTCAATGAAGTTGAGATAGAGAGGTGACAGTCAATTCAAGCTATGTTCAATGATGATGCGTAGTGTGGCGATTTGATCAATACATGACCTGTTCATCCTGAATCCAGCCTGTCCCGGTCGACGTTTTTCATCCACGGCTTGTTTGATTCTCTCCAGGATGATGCGGCTTAGAATTTTGCTTGAGATGGACAAGGGCATAATTCCGCGCCAGTTCTTGCATTGACTTAAGTCTCCTTTCTTTGATAGCTTGAATAAGTATCCTTTCTTCCAATCCTCGGGTAGCTTGCCCTCTATCCACACCTTTTCCAGTAGTGGTGTAATCAAGTCCATTGTTGTCTCTGGGTCCATTTTCTATCCTCCTGCTGGGATTCCATCTAGTCCTGCTGTTTTTCAAGCTTTTAGTATCTTGATTGCCTTCAGGACTTCTGTTCTCGTCAGGGGTTGATGACCACTGGTAGTTCTGCTTCTATTGTTCGTATTGTTGGGCGCGTTGTAGGTGGCGGTCGGTTTAGTAGTCTTTTGAAGTGTTCAGTCCAATTTTTCCTTTACTCCATTTCTTGGTGATTGACTTACATTTTCATCCTTCACTGGCTTTATTTGTGTCGAACTTTTGCCTGAAAGGTACCTAGTTGTTTGGTAGAGTTTTGCGACGTCTCCCTTGCCCACAGCTTGTTCTGCTTCACTTGCCACGACTTCAGAATATCTTCTTTATTCTTCCCTGGCACTCTTCTTTACTCTTTTGTTCATTGTATTGTAGCTTGCATTCAAATCCTGTTTTTGTTGTTCGTCGATGCACTGGATAATCTTTTGTTTCACCATCTTTCTCTCTTCTATTAGTCTCCATGTGTCCGTAGTGAGCCACTGTTTGTCCTGTCTCTTCTTCCTGCCTAGAATTTCCATGCACGTTTGTCTCCACACCGCTTTCATGTTGTCCTAGTGCTTCTCAACGCTGACCTATTCGCTAGTGTTGATTTGTGTCTCGGCTTTCTCTTTTATACTTGCAGTGAATATATTCTTTGTGTCCTGGTCCTTCAGTTTTTGAGTGTAGAACTTGGCTTGTGGTCTATCTGGAGCTCCCGATTCTCTGAAAGCTTTTAATTTGATTTGGATTGTCCCTTGTACGAGATAGTGGTCTGAGTCAACGTCTGCTCCTCTTCTTACTTTTGTGTTCAGTAGGCTGCGCCTCCACTTCCTTGAGATTGAGATGAAGTCAATTTGTTTTTTGGTTCGCCCATCTGGTGACACCCATGTAGACTTGTGGATTTCCTTGTGTTTTTATACGCTGTCATCATTCACTAGTTCATTGAAGATGCAGAAGTCATCGAAGAGTTCTTTATTCTCATTCATCTCTTCGAGAGCTGTTCTACGGATTTTGAGTTCTCTTTATGTGATGTCTGGTCCCAGTTTGGTGTTCATGTCTCGTAACAGTATTTTAATGTCATCAACTGGAGTATTGTCCATTGTTGCCTGTAGTTGTCTGTAGAATTCTTCTTTCTTTTCGAGGTCTGCGTTTTTGTGGATGCGTAGCATTGTATAACTGACACCTTCCTTCCTTTGAAGTTGAATCTGTCGGTCATTTTCGATTGGCGAGATAAGCTCCCATTGTCTCAGATCCTTAGTTGTCGTTGGTGACATCATGATAGACACGCCCTCGGTGTGCGTATGGTTGTCTTCTGGGT